CAGGGAAGAGCAAAGTACTCAGCTGTAAACCTTCACTTCTCTAAACTCCCCGTGGCAAGGGCGGTCAAATGACCCAATTCTGAGCCCCTTCCTTTGTTTCAGTTTTCTCTGTATGACTGTTGAACACATATACTATTTTTTCCTACTATATCACCATACTTCCAAATGTAAGCCTGCAGCCTTTCAGATGCAGCTTGCGCCTGTTCTGTTCCTTACTCTATCCTAGAGCACAGAGGGTTCTTCCCACCACAGAGCAGATGCTCAGTAAACAGCTGCCACACAAAGGACGGAGGGGAACACACCGGAATGTGGTGGGTAGGGTTTCTAGGAAAGCTTTGTGAAAGGATGTGCTTTGGCCCTTTGCCCGGCTGCCTTTCCCCCCTCACCCAGCTTTTGCCTCCCACCTAGAAGATGCACCAAACACACAAAGACAAAAGAAAGAGGAAGAAAACACCCCGCCTGACAGTCTGGGCTCCTGAAGGCCTTCCTGAGCCAGGCCTGGATGGACCCAAGGAATGAGGATGTGTCCAGGAAACTTTGTATTTGTTCATGCCACTATTTGTCAGGCTTTCTGTTCTTCAACCTAACATCTTTCCTCATGGATGGGAGTTGTAAAGAGATTTCCCAGCTAAATTAAAAAAAAAAAAAATGCCCTACTCTCTAGATATTCTTGAAAGTAGCCAGAAAGAAGAAGAAATTTAGCTAATGTTTACCTTTTTAACCAGCTAACAAGAACCCAACACTGGGGTAATAAAATAGAGGGTCTCATCAATAAGCAACGTAGAAAGATATAAATGGAACAAGTTCAAGGGAAAGCTCCCTTGGCCGCCTTTATTAAACTTTCAGTGCAAGCATATGGAGGGACCAGACAGAGTGTAATAAGTAAGAATGAATGGGGACCCTGCCAAACCAGTGACAGGCCGGAAAGGATCTATCTATCTATCTCTGCCTCTTATTCATTTATCTATCATCTATCAATCAATCATTCACCTATCTATATCTATATCTACCTATTATTTATCTATCAATCATTCTCCCTATCCATCTATATCTATCTATATCTATCTCTCATCTATCTTTTTTTTTTTTTTTTGAGACAGAGCCTCAAGCTGTCCCCCTGGGTAGAGTACCATGACATCACAGCTCACAGCAACCTCCAACTCCTGGGCTCAAGCGAGTCTCCTGCCTCTGCCTCCCAAGTAGCTGGGACCACAGGCGCCCGCCACAACGCCCGGCTATTTTTTGGTTGCAGCCGTCATTGTTGTTTTGGCGAGTCCGGGCTGGGGATTCAAACCCGCCACCTTAGGTGTATGTGGCTGGCGCCTTAGCCGGTTGAGCTATAGGCGCCGAGCCTCATCTATCTTTTTATATCTGCCTATCATTCATCCATCTATCTATCTATCTATCTATCTATCTATCTATCGCGTAGGCCAAGCACACCCAGAGGCCAACAGTCCCACTTGGCAGGAACATCTAAGTGCTGTAGTGTCCAGTATGTCAAATTTTCACCACTTGCCTACCCCACAAAAGACCCACCCCTTCCTCCTCTCTGGTCAGAGCTAACTTCTATAACTGAAGACTGTGAGCCCTGTTAGATGCTGGATCCTACTGGGAGAAGTGATGTATCTTTTAGAACAGTGGTTCTCAACCTTCCTAATGCTGTGCACCTTTAATATAGTTAAAAGGGGTCGTGACCCACAGGTCGAGAACTGCTATTTTAGAAAGAGACATTTGCACTATAATCAATGCCAGATCCCTCCCTCTGAAGGTCTTTGGTGTGGGGGAGGGAGGAAGGCACGTGCACTGGGGCCCTGTGACAAGGGCAGCTGGTGGTCCTGGAGGCAGGCATCACAGGACCAGGACTCAACTTGCCACGTTGCCTGTCACCTCTGCTTCTAAGGGCAGTTGCTGCAAGATGTGCTCACTTTTAGTTTACCAAATTATCTTGCCTTTTAAATAAAAAGCAGAAGAAAACTTCTGCCCATAGAACACCGCTCTGACTCAGAACGATGTTTTGGTTGGCACACACTTTGCAGACACTAAATACAGCCAACTGGTTAGCCAGGTCCCCTGGGGGAGTCAACATTCACTTGCAAAGTGACCAGCAAGCATTTCCTTGTGAAGAACAGTGGAACTTTCTATTTACAGTTCCAAATATAATGAATAAGTTAGTCAATATAAACACTGCATCAAACCTACTAAAATCCTAATCTGGGCTCGGGTTTTTGGAGTGGTACCTCATCTTTAAAAACAAACAAACTAAAAACAACATCTCTTGGAAGATTCAATACAAAATTATCATCAAGGTAAAAGTAAGTATGGCCATGCTGCCACCATGACAGTAACGAGTGATTCAGGAAAGAATCTAAAGCTACTAAGTCAAAGGGGAAGGAGGAACAGGTCTTCCCAGCCTCAGATAGGTTCTCATTACAGAGGAGAAAACGGTAACTTCTCAGAGGAAGCCTGGCTGGAACCATCTCAACAGAACAATCAAAGTTAATATCACCAAACCAGGACAAATCGACATCATGTGCCTCCGGACGTAATGCACCGTGGAGAAAAAAGAAAACAACCAAACCCCAAACAACAGATACTTCACAAGCAACTAGCCTAGACTCTTAAAAACAAGTCAGTATCATAAAGAACAAAGAAAGGCTAAGAAACCTTTTCAGATGAAATGTGACAAGAGGCATAACATAAACACCACAAATAATTTTTCTTAAAGTACCAGATTGAGACAAACAGTGCCTTAGGGGGCATTACTGGGACATTTAGAGAAAAGTCATTGTTAAGTTTCCTGTATTTGGCAATTACACTATGATTCTGTAAAAGAATGCCCTTGGCCTTAGGAAATACATGCTGAGGAATTAGGGGTGAAGGTCACGATGTGTGGTGCTTGTGATGTACTCTCCTGTGGGTCCAAAATAATAATAACTGGCACTATTGCATGTGCGTGTGTGTCGGAGAGAGTAAGAGAGGGGAAACGTCCAGAATTGAGGAGTCTATGTGAAAAGTGTGTAAGTTCACTGCATAATTCTTACAACTATTCTGTAAGTTTAAAATTTTTCAAAAGAAAGTTTTTTTAAAGTTAAAAAAAAAAAAAAACCCAGAGGCTCAGCACCCATAGCTCAGCGGCTAAGGCACCAGCCACATAAACCTGAGCTGGCGGGTTCAAACCCAGCCTGGGCCTGCCAAACAACAATGACAACTACAACCAAAAAATAGCCAGGCATTGTGGCGGGCACCTGTAGTCCCAGCTTCTTGGGAGGCTGAGGCAAGAGAATCGCTTAAGTCCAAGAGTTTGAGATTGCTGTGAGCTGTGACAGCACAGGACTCTATCCAGGGCGACAGCTTAAGACTCTGTCTCTCAAAAAAAAAAAACCTGAATACCTAGTTTTCAAAAACCATTAATAGAGAAAAGAAGGACAAAATGTTTTTAAAAATTTCCAACTGTTTAGAAATACGTAAGTTTGAAGCATTTAACAGTACAGGAGCAAACTGGCGGTATTATATATGGAGAGGGTATGTGTGTGTGTTTAAAATTTTTTGTTAACCTCAGAGGAGGCTGTCAGTCTCTCTCTTGACCACAGGAGTCATGCCACATTTTACTAAGTAAAGGGTATAAACACGGAAAGAATGACTCCCTACAACTGAGGGAAGAACAACCCAGCCTAACTAAGGTTAAAACAGTGAGTCACTTCCTCTTAGGAGGAAGGGCAAATGTTTCTTGTTTCCTGGAGGATTCAGAGATTCTGCCGGAACACCTGAGCTCTCAGCCTGAATCATGTAATAAACGAGAAGAAATCATGTAGTAAACGAGATCAGGAGAAACTCCAGGCCATTCATTCCATGCTTCTGAGCCAGCACAGCACCTCCCAGTGCAAAACCACCATCTACTGAAGGCTCTGGTCTGCTTCAGCCTCCACATGACTGGGTTCCTCAGAGGACACAATGCAGCAAAAGGAACGAAGACACAGCGAACGGCCTTGGTTTTCTCTGGCACGTCAGCCTCAACATGCCTCAGTCCTGAACCAACCCGAATGGCCTCTAGAGCTCGGAGCTGCAGCGTGCCAGCAGCGTGCCAGCAGCGCACACGTGGACGGATTAGCCCGAGCTGTGCTCTGAAGCACACACACGCTCACTCAACCTGTGCTTCTCATTCCAGGGATGCTTTCTCCCTAAAGCACTTCTGTGCCTCTCCTGGCATGCACAGTCCAAGTGGCTCCGTGCCAGAGGAAGTGTCTGTTTGGAGATGGGCCCTTTCTTTCCATTTCTTTACCTCAGAAGCTCATAAACAGAACATTCTAGTATAATTATAATGGAATGAAGCAGAAAAAGAAAAGGTTACGGGGGGGGGGGGGAACATTTGTTTTATTTTTGCCTTTGTTTTGTTTTAAGTTGCCTAAAAGAAATACAACCTAAACATAAAATTATCTTCCAGGAGAGTAGAAATTATAGGGTTTCAGTGTGGGCAGGGAAGCAAAAATATTCCCTATAACAGGAAAGGTCAGTGGTCGTTTGCCATCTCAGACACACACATTTATTCTTGTTTTAAGGTCACCTGCCGGAGGTCATTTACCAATGAGGTGCAGGGGAGAGCTTTATAATTGTTGTTTAATTCCAAACATAAGAGTATTTTGTATTTGTCTCTCCCTTAACAACCTTCATCCCATATTAAAAACTAATGTATAAGTCGAAAACTTTATAACTTACCTGTCTTTTCCCTTTCTATATGTTCACTACCAGGTATTTACTTAAGGTTTGATCACAACAGTCAGAGTGAAATCAGTAACTCCTCCCTGAATCCTTAGGCATCTCGATTACAAAACACACCATCAACCACCTACGTACATGTACGCACACACAACACAGCAAGGGAAAGGACATCACGCTCCAGGTACGTACGCACACGACCAATTTCCTGCTCCATTGCCTTCAGGATGGACCTAAAAGACACCTTCTTGGAAACTCTGCTCCTGAGCAGAGGGAGGAAGACTTACTTTCTTTCCACTTCTGGTGTTGACACGGCGCTACAGAAGCCAAGGGACTCCTACGAGGGAAGATTCATACCGTCAGTGTGGGCAGACCGGCAGGCTTCATCTCATTTGTACATAATATCATTTAAAAAAAAAAAAAAAAAACAGAAGCAAAAATAGATGATTAAAGTCATTGTGCTTACTTCAATCTGGGACCGCAGCTGAAGTGACGTGGGACTGGCATCGGGTTTCTCCTAAAACAGAACAGATGCCGGTTTAATGAGACTTCCAAACGTGGCGTAGACCAGAAAGACCAATAGATGTGTAAGAAGAGAGGGGAGGATTTGGGAGACGCTAGGGTATGCGGTGGGAGGAGAGGACGGAGATAAACAGATTTTTTGGAAAAACTAAAGAACTTTTAAGAGCTCTGTCCTCTTAAAATTGAACTGTTTTACAAACTCCACTGCTAGACGCTGCTAGAAATTTTATTGCATTAAAAAAAAAAAAGCGCAATTTAACTGAAGGGTACTGACAGTTAATGGTGAAATAATTCTTTGAATATACTCAGACCATCACTGGGGCACTGAATTTACTGCAACCCATTTGATTTCAGTTATTTTGCAATGGAGTTTCAATCTGATCTTAAAGTTCTAACTGCATTTAGAGTGCGAAGCAATGGAGGATTCGTTGTTAGCATGGTTAGGAAGTTGGAAAGCTAACTAGATATCATCTTGCAGCCTGAAAACTCAGATCCTCCTGGAAGACCAATAAACTGGGACCTCGCTGAGAATTTAAAAACAAAAACTCCCAGCATCCAGTCCACAAGTGAAATATAAATGTGTAAGACATTATGAGTACACTGAAAAAAAAAAAAAATCAATGAATCATGAAAGAGAGGAATCAAATAATTTTAGAGATAAAACTAAGAAGAAGTATATAACACCTTCATTTGAGAGTTAACGGAGGCTGTATCCCCTTTGAGAGTAAAAGAAGAGAAAAATAAACCATTTACTTACAATGAAAAAAATTATGCAAATTATGCATTCCCACATGCATCTAATTGTTCCATTTATTAAAGATGCCTATTTCATCATTAACACAAAACTAGGCAAATACTTAAAAACTCGTTGAAGCATAAAAGTAGCAATCAAATATTATAATAATTATAACTCAGAGTAAAGTTATACATTTCAATAGGGAGCAGGAATCTGGTACAAATAAACAACATCAAAATGAATGTGCTTCTGTATGGAACTGGGGGTGTTCCGGGGACTTGTAGCACACCAGGGCTCTTGTGGCTGATGACATTGTACTACACACTTGGGAGCTGTTGGGAGGGTGAATTTTATGGTATGTGTATTTTTGCCACAATTAAAAAAGAGTGCTAGGATAAGTACATCTGACCATGGGGTGATTGTGGACAAACAGCCTGAAAGAAAACTGTTTTTTGTGGGGGGGGCTGTGGATCAGTGGGTGGAGTGCCGGCCCCATATACTGAGGGTGGTGGGTTCAAACTCAGCCCTGGCCAAACTGCAACAAGAAAAAAAAAAGAAAAATGTTTTCATGGACTGGGTTTTCGGGGGCTGGCAACTCACAGTTTTTTTCAGGACACATCTTATTTATTTTATCCCAGAGGAAAGAGACTACAGTCATCATTTAGAGGCATTTTTTTCTTTGTTAGAGAAAATATGTCCTAAAGTTAAAACATTACACAACTGAAGAGAAGCTTGTACAACTGTCCACCGAGTTAAGGACATATCTGATGTGGGAAGGAAAGGCAGAACAGATGAGTGGCAAAATGCCATCATTTGATAAACATTCATAAGAGTAATAACTATCATGTGAATATAATAAAAATTTTAAAACATATATAATAAAAAATATAGCAAAACCTCCTGGACCCACCATCAAGTCTGAGAAATAAAACATTACAAGTTAATTCACACTCTGATATACACTTAAGTAAACCATCCCATCCCGTGGAAAGAATATGAAACACGTCTCAGTATAATCAATGTGTTATACACGTAGGAGGAAGACGTGCTGGACAACGTGTAATTGTTTATCCCTGAAAAAAATAGATTTTTTTCAGGGCACAACATGGAGTGAAAAGGTGTGATGGAATCAGACAGGAGGAGCAGCAACCATCTGTACAGCCACAGGGGGCGTTGTTCACATAATAAAGGGAGGAGGGTTCAAGTCCAAAGGTTCCCTGACATCTCCCTTTCTTGTTTAGTTTCGAGAGCAGGCTGCCCCCTTCTCTGCCTCAAAGTCAACCAGTGTAAAGGAGTAAAAGGGGCAGAGAAGCATCGCTCTGGAAGTCCTGACGAAGGGGAAGATGGCCTAGGAGGAGCCATGAAGACGCACCTGACCTTCCCACCACCACTGCTTTATTCAGAGAACTAATAGTCCACAATATAACTCCCAGTTTGGAATTCACGCGGACAGAAGTAGTAAAAATTGTGACTCCCATCAAAACACAGTCATAGAGTGTATGTATAACTTTGGGGCATGCTACAGAAAAGAGAAAGATTTTCCTCTCCCTCATTAACACGCACTGTTACTGCTGCCAAACACAGTGGCATAAAGCAGCAAGCTTTGTATGTTGCTCACAGATTCCGTGGATAATAATAAAAGCAACAGCAGAAAGGCTTCTCTGGGCTCCTGAGGGCCCTCAGCTGGGAAGACTGCAAGGTTAGGGATGGCTTGATGGGTGGGGCTGTGTGCACTGGAAAGCTCGCTCACTCCCAGGCCTGGCTGCTGAGGCTGGCTGATGGCTGGGACCTAAGCAGGTGCATCCAGAGAACACCTGAATGTGGGTGCTCTGTGGGCTGTTTGGGCTTCCTGATAGCCAGATGTTGGGGTGCAAAAATAAGCATGTGGAGAGGGCCAGAGTTAGCATCACCCCTCGCAGTATAGCCTCACCTGGTATGACAACTGCCAGAGCCACAAGCCCTCCCAGCTTCTCTCTTGGCGGAAGGAGTGCCAAAGTCACAATGTGAGAACAGCATTGGACGGCAGGCATCACTGTGGCCAGCGTGGGGAATTTACAGTTTGCCACACTGACTGCCGAGATGGGCCTACTCATCATTTTTCAGGATGAGGCAGGAGATGCATTATAACGTCCATCGGGGTTATTTTGTGGGCTGGACAGAGTTTACTCACATAGCATATGCTGGCGACAGATTTCAGCCCAAACCTATCACTTCAAAGGTCAAAATACAGCACTGCGTTAGGCTCCGACGATCATCTTCCTCACTTCAAACCTATAATTATATTTTTAAAGCCTCAAATATACAAAAGTAAAGAGAAGAGTATCATGAACTCCCAAATTCCTACTAACCAGCTCCAAAGACGATCAGAGTCAACTTTGTTTACACCTCCACTCTTCTTGCAATCCTACCCCATTTGACTTTGAAGAAAACCTCAGACATCAGATCACAAAATATCACAATTTTTAAGTTAAAGATTTCTTAGGTCTTAACTGCTGCTCAAGCTTGAGCAAATGGCCCAATCACCAGGAATTTGACTCTTTCCTAGCACTGGAGGACAGTTTTGGCAGGAAGCCCAAACAGCCCATAGAGCAAAAAAAAATCATATTTGTGAAATTTAGATGTTGCAAAGAACATGAAGAAACGCATTCCAGAGTCGAATGCAAAGGAAGAGAGTTCATTCCAGAAGTACTCACTCTTGTTTCCCAAGTGGAAAAACCTCATCCTTTTACACTTTGGAGTCTGATATGCTCTCTGACTCTGCTGTGACTAAGTATCTGAAGCAGTTTTTAGTGAGAAATAGCTCCATTATCTGGGCCGCGCTCAATATTGGGATCCAGAAAGATCTGGGAGACAGCCACACAACACGTGGCGGAACCTGAACATGTAAGTGGGGGTGCTATAACTTGATTAGGAATTTTTTTAAATAAATAAAAAAAGAAAGTGGACTACGAAATTTAACATGTCAATTAACTGTTCATCATTAAGCCGCACATGGATATCTTCATTGAGAAGGACAAAAATCATTAACATTTCAAACACTTAAGGAAACTTCTCCAAGATTTAAAACAAAATATAAACACATCCCAACATACATGCATGCAAGTTTGTACGTGGATGTATGTGTGCACGTACAGGAAAAGGCTTGAGAAGGCAGGCACCAAATTAACTTAACAGCACTTATTTATGTTTCAGTTTTCCCTGCATTTTTTATAGGTATGTCGTCTTGCATTACTTCCATCATTTTTTTCTAAAGATGAAAGATCAGCTTAAAAACACCATTTCCAATTCCTATATATGTTTTTAAATTATCTACACGTATCCAAGGTAGGGTTGTATCCATCAACCCTAGTATGAAACTAACTTATAGCTATCATAGGAAAACTATAATCCAATTTAGCCCAAGAATAGGGGGAAAGAGGAGTGGGAGGGGAGGGGAGGGGGGAGGATGGGGGAGGTAGGGTGGTTGATGGGATCACGTCTATGATTTATCCTGTAAGGGTACATGTGAATCTTTCTAAATTGTAGATCATAAATGTCTTAACGCGGCAACTGGGAGAATGACATGAAGGCTATGTTGACCAACTGGATGAAAGTATTTCAAATTGTATATGAAAACAACACACTGTACCCCATGATAGTATGAATGTACACAGCTATGATTCAATAAAAAATAAATTAAAAAAAAAAGATTATCCACACATATGTTTATAAATGCATGAAACAATATCTAAAAGAATTCTTAGTATGGGTGGAATACATTTCTCAACTTTTCAAGCATAACTTTAATAATAATTCAAGTTGTATGCCAGCAGTTAAACTGAAAAAAAAAACCCAAAAACCTAAGACATGTTAAAACTTAATTTCTCTAATTAGATTATGCCTTACTGTATTAAAATATACTCTTGAAGTGTGACAATTTTTAAAAATAAGTGTCATAGAAAACGATGCATGCATTTTTGTATTAATAGAGAAAGGCTGTGCTAAAATCAATTCCCATTCACAGTCTGAGAAGCTAAACTACAGTACTGTGTCATTAAAAAAAAAAAAAAAGAATCCAGTGAAAAAAACATTACTAGGAAGAAAAACCTCAACTCCATTTCCTGTGAGGTTGGATAATCTGTGGAAACAACAGTTCCCCAAATGTTTATTATGTCTAACATAGAAAGGAAAAATATATATATATATATGGAGAGAGAGAGAGAGAGATGAATCAGTGGTTTGCCAAAACCAAAACATGAATACGTGCGTTCGCTTTCACC